GCCATCTCTCAGAGGGAAGAAAATCTGTCCAAACAGTGAACAGATCTAGGCTGCCAGAGGTAGGCTGGCTGCCCACAAGCGGCAGGACAGCTGTACATAAGCAACAGGACAAAACCAGGTGGAGAGAGGCAGCTTAGCAGCCTGGCTGAGACAGAAAAACAGGGCTCACAAATCTGGGGAACCTGCTCACATAGCACAGGAGGTATTTCTAAATACTGTTTCAGTGGTTGGATCATCTCTATGTAGAATGGACTGTGGAGAGCTGTGCAACTTAAAGGCATGGTTATACATGCCAACCAGGCAAAAGTTCCACACAACAGCATTAAAAACATTAAGGCCACAATGTCAATTGTGCAACTCAAGGATAAGGCAGGATTAAAGCTATATGTGAAACCTTCCTTGGCCCCTCTCTGTGCAATACCCACGTTGAGCTTCAGGAGGGATGCGGACCATTTGAAGAGAAATCAAAACAATGAGAAGAATCAGAGCTCAAGAAAATGTGCTCTACAAAGAAAATGAAAATAGGAAAGAAATTTGGGATTTTTTTTATAACATGCTGGGTAAATAAACTAACAGCCTTTTGTAGAGATGAACGAAGTAATCTATCTTTCATTATCTCTGGCAGATGGTACAAGAAGTAATGGGATAAACCCAGAAAGAAGAAAATCTGAGTTAGACCTTACAAAAATCTTTTCAATATTAAAAACACTGGAAGATACTGTTTGGGGAAGAGCCAGAACTATTATTACTGGAAGAATATTTAAGAGCAATTTATATCAAGTTCTGTCCAGAATGACAGCTGTAGTTACCTGCCTTGATGACTAGATGACTTCCAAAGGCCTCTTTCAGCCCTGTGAATCTGAGACAGAACTGCTTTAACAGCTATCAGTCTAAAGGCAAAACCATGCAATGATTTCAAGTGCACTGATTTCACTTACCCTGTTTCATTCACTGGGTCCACACTCTGCACACAGAATTCTTAGAGAGAAGCATTCAAGTAAAACTACAGACCATGTAAGAACACGTGCACAAAGGAAAGCGATCGGTGTTTCAAAATTAATCTTAATTCTGGTATCTCCTAAAGTAAGTGCTTGACTTTGCAACTTAAATTTTAAACATATTTGATATTAAGTGTTTTATCTATCTCCCTCCTGCCTTAAGAGGCTTCTCCTGCCATTGCTGCAGTGCTGTTCTATCTGGATTATCTAATCTCTATGCCATTCCACAATTTCTTTTTCCACTGAGTGTTGCAAGTTTTGTAATGCTCTTTCCTTGGAGATTAAAAAAGAAAGAAAAAGATAAGGAATGAAGATAATGAAGTTCACTGCTGTTTTTTCACCAGACATTATCTTTGTTCACACAATCAACAAATGTTCGTCAACTCCTTTCTGATGGAAGAAAGCACCCCATCTCTCCATCTCCAGCCTCCAAATCTGATCTTAGCAGCAGCGACAAAATGAAAATGCTGTGGTTTGACCAACTGCAAAGCGAAGCAGGAAGGGAAATTGCCAAACTCAGGAATGCTCTATGAAAATCTCAGCTTCTGCTTGGTGATGTTAGGACTGTTCTTTCTTTGTAGTTCCAGCAAAAGGACAAGTTGATGGAAAATAAAATGAACCAAATGATGTTTTGTTCTCCCTGAAACTGTGCTTCCAGGTCATTCTTGTTAGCTTTCAGTGCTTGGAGGTGACAATGTGGGAAATAGAGGAGGAAGGTAGAAGTGGGCTCTGCTGCAAGTCCCAGCCGGCTCCTGGCCACACTCCCTCTGCTCCTGCAGGCAGCACAGACCAGGCACAGCCTCCTTCCCAAGAGTCTGGATTGCATTCAGCCCTAAGTCCTGGGCTGACACAGGCTTCTCACAGGGCTTATGAAAAGAAAAATGGAACAACCCAAGGAAAAGGCTCCAAGCCCCATGGCACTCCTGATACATAAGTGCTGGCAGCACTACTTCCAGCGCTGCCAGGCTCGATAGTTTATCTTCTCTTGACGCTGCTGCCCCTCCCCACTTGCGGTCAATAATTCACTCACTGCTTCTCAGCACACTCACAGGCCTCACCCCTTGCAGCCTGCCCTACCCCTATGGCTCACATGCTATTTGTTTCAACGGCTTCAGCATGTTGCCTTCTGAGCAGATCTCCTCAACCCATTGTTAAATCCCCACCCCCAATCCCAGACACAGAGAACAGCTCTCTTGGAGTCCCACGCACACACACCCCACCCTACACAGAGCAGAAAGGCTCCAAAACTGGACGCTTCTCCATCTCCTGTCTGTTGAATATTCTTATTTAGCCTCAGGGAGGATCAGAAAGATACCACGCTAGGCAAGCTTTGGGGAATCTCTCAGCTTGTGAATATCCTGTCCTGGTTCTGATGCATCCTACTGTCTCTATTCACTATAAGCTCACTATTCTTCTACGGCAAGTTGTTTATTTAAAAGGCTTTGTTTTATGCCCCACACTTCTCTAACACTCTTCTTTACTACCAAAGACAGAAATGCAGAATTTAATCATATTCAACTCTGTATATTGAAAAAAATGTTTACTCAGAGGGCGGTGAAGCACTGGCAGTGCTGCCCAGAGCTGTGGGTGCTCCGTCCCTGGAGGTGCTCAGGCCTGGACTGGATGGGACCCTGAGCCCTGATCTGGTGAGCTCTGCCTGTGGCAGGGGGTTGGAACTGGATGGTCTTTGAGTCCCTTCCAACTCAAACCATTCTATGGTTCTATGAAAAAGTTGATGTATTGCCTACTGCTGGTGCTTTTCTATGTTTTGGCAAATTTCTTCACTGTCTGTTAAAAAATATTCCTGTAACTCTCACGTACCTAAACTTATATCTTAATTTATACACATTTCCACTGGATTAAGTTGATCACACTAAAAATGAAATAGAAAAAGATTATACACAAAGAGATGAAGCTGGTGAGAATGTCTAATTTGGAAACCAACGTCAAAACTGTATTCCCAAGATACAGATTTCAAATCTTTATGGAGTCCTTACTTTGTACTGAATCTCAATACATTTCCTCCCACCATTATGCAAGAAAACCAGAAGTCATTGCTGTGTGCTACTTCACAGGTTGCATTTTGTCCTAAGAAAACAGAAACAAGCCATCCAGCATCCAGTCCTTCCAACCTGCGAGGCACTGTGCCTGTGTGAACACCTCACAGACAGTAATACAAACGATTGATCAAGGAATCACAGCTCAGAAGAGGCTTTCTTCTGGTAGGTTTCAAGACACAGTGCCAATAAAACCTGGCGTAGTATTTTTCTTCCACTTTCATGAGGATATCAACAGTTTCTCCAACTAACATGACACCAATTCAGCATCCAAATCCTGAGAAGGAGCAGAGAAACCTCAGACTCCCAATTACTGTTGCGCATCTCTTGAATGCATTTTCTCCAAAAACATCAGAGATGAGGTATGACCATCGTTAATTATCAATTAATAGCATTTAGCTTTTTAGTGCTTTGACCAGCAAAAGCAATTGGTCCACAATATCCTTTCAATATTGACTAATCAACCTCAGCATTACCAGCTGGCAGAACAAATGAGTTGAGAACAAATAAGGGCTGGTTCAGAACTATGCTGGGCTTTGTTTTTTTTTGGCTGACTGTTGTCCAGCTTTTAAGAAAAAGTTTATGGGTAAGGAAAGTAATCAACAGTTCACTGTAACAACCAGAAAGCAACCTTGACAAGAACAGAAAGCAGATGAAACAGCATTCAGAACAATTTCTGCAAAGGATCCAAAACAGGATGAAATGAAGAATAGAAACAGCTGTTCAGTTCAAGTTCGCTCTACTTACTGACCACAATTTAGTATTAGCATAGGAAAATGCCATTAAAGGCAGTTTTTGTGTATTTCCTTCAGGTATGCACACCAGGCCTATTTAAGCAGAACTCTCTGTAAGGAGGGAAGTACCTACTGGAACATAACAAGTTTGCAGGCATGTAAAATGTGAAAATGATACATGCAGAAAACAAATTAATTTTTTGTGCATGGGAAACATGCTGTGTGTCTGACAAGGAGGAATTAAAATGACTACAGTATTGTCTCCAAGTCTGTCAAAACAGAAATACACCTGTAACTGTCTGCTGACAGACTGGTAACAAACTGCAGCAGAAGAGGACTGTTTACAGTAGCTCTCATACTCTGATACTGCTTCAACAGTGATCACAGGCAGCATGGTTTAGTTTTCCCCAAACAATATCATTAATTCTAACTAATACTTTCACTGATCTGGGGGCAATTTATATTCACAGAGTCATAGAATGGCCGGGGTTGAAAAGGTCCATAATGACCATCTAGTTTCAACCCCCTGCTATGTGCAGGGTCGCCAACCAGCAGACCAGGCTGCCCAGAGCCAAATCCAGCTTGGCCCTGAATGCCTCCAGGGATGGGGCATCCACAGCCTCCTTGGGCAACCTGCTCCAGTGCATCACCATCCTCTGAGTGAAAAACTTGCTCCTAATATCTAACCTAAATCTCCTATATTGACAAAAACATGGGAAAAAAAGATCAGAAATATTGATTTTCCAGTATTACAAATTCTTAAATAAGGAAAAATACAGTAGAACTGACAAGATGCATATATATAAACAACTGCTTTGTTGTTTTTGTTCCTGAAAACACAGAAATACAACCTGAAAGTTCAGAAATACTTTTATATGAATTTGCTTATACACCATTTCTCAGGAGGAATGCTTCAGTAATCACAATGCATCTCAATCTCACTTATATCTGCTTGAATTCAAACAGCTAATACGCTGTAATTCGAGAGTTTACCCATGTAATCTGAGCACAACATTGAAGAAGCTTTTCACCTCAGTCTCCCTGTATACTAATTAAGCCATCGGTCTCATATACAGCAGCTGCCAACACAGACTGTTATTACCGATGCTTTAGAGCACCAGGAGTGTGCCCTGAGCCTATGCTCCAAGCACTCTGTGCTCCATTCCTCAGCTCCAAGCCCTGTTCCAGCACCCATCTCTTCACACACTCACCTGGTTTTAGCTTCGACACCAACGGAGGCAGTGGAGCTTGCAGACTCCTCGGATACTGAGCGCTGAAGGACTGGTGTTAGCTGCTTGGTGCTGTCCACTTCCACCTGGGCATCCTCTTCTGCAGATTGCTCTTTGACTTCTGTTTGAAAAATACAGATAATGATTATTTATTTCGACTACTAAAACCAGACCTGTAAGCAGACAATGCAGACATTTATTTATAGACAAATTAACTCAGATATCATCAAACGCAACAGAATAGTAGAGTGAGAAAGCACCATCTTTATGCACCTAACTAAAACACGAAACTGAATGCTCGTGAAGATTTTTACATAACACAGCATATGATGGTGAGCAGGAGATGTTCCATAAGCCATGAGGCAGGGCACTGGTGCTCAGTGACAACCTTCTCCTAGGAGGCAGCAGGTTTACATGCATTTCAAGCTGCTAGAAGCTGAGCTCTCCTTCTCCCCTCACCTCCTTTTCTGCCCTTTCAGCTCAGAACAAATATTGAGGTGACAACACTAACTTGGGCTATAATACAATGTTTTTCTCCCAGATTACCTTTAACTTCAATCAAGTCCCTGCACCAGTTCATTCCTGGTCACACTGATTCTATGCTGGCACAGTTGCTAGACTGGAAAATATACATCTACAGCTGACAAAGCTTCTGTTTGTCTAGAAAGTTTGTTTCTGAGCAGAAACACAAAACAAAGGGCCAATGAGTGTGCAGCTTAAACTCCAATCCTGTTTGTACCACCTGAGTCAGATGTTTGTTAGCAGAGCACTGCAGTGCATCATTCTGGGTGCTCCAGCATGCAGGGGCAAAAGGGAGCTGCTTAGGGCTGCAGAGCAGTAAAATGCAGTATTTCTGCCCTCCCCCATACCTTTATTTTTAAACCTAAGTAGCAAAAATTATAGGGGTCTGACTGATGCTCTTTGGCACATGTAGCTTAAAGTACTTTTGCCTTCTGTCAGTGGAGAAATGGTGGAGAGAATCACGGAATCAGAGAATGTTTTGGTTGGGAGGGACCTATCTAGATCCAACCCCAACCTCCTGCCCCCCAGCTCAGGCTGCCCAGGACCCCATCCAGCCTGGCCCTGAGCAGCTCTGGGATGGGGCACCCACAGCTCTCTGGGCAGCAGTGCCAGTTCCTCACCACTCTCTGAATAAAGCATCTTCTCCTAACATTGAACCTGAGCATCTCCTCTGTTAGTTTAAAACCATTCCCCCATGTCCTATTAATATCAGACTGTGATAGAAGAATCTGTGACATAGGTGGGCATGCAAAAAAAAAAAAAAAAAAAAAAAAAAAAAAAGGCTGCTACAAGCTTTCATCTTTTAAATAAGAAAAATAAAAGAGGAAAATCTTTAGAACATAAAATTGCAACTTTAGCAGAGCATATCTCAGTCTGCAATACTGAAATTATACACCCACCAGAAGGGGAAATCTTTCATACAGAGAGACTGAAGGAAAATTATTCCTTAACCTGGAGTGAACTCATTTAGGGAGGCGCTGCATAATGTTTAAAGCCCTCAAAGAAGGCATTAAAAAAAAAAAAAATACTTCAGAGAACCACAGTGCTGAGAAAAAAGAATAAGAAATTCCTGTACAGGACTGGGTGTGCCAGATATCCGAGCTGGTGTAAGCTGGAATTGCTTCATGTATTTCATTGAAGCTACCCAGTAATGTACATCTGAGATGCTGCTGGACATGTGAAACACTCCAAAAGGACTGCCTGTCACAAGGCCATATGGTTCACTTGAAAAGCAGCCCACCAGCCTGTCCTGAGGAAAAAAAAAAAAAAAAAGCAAAAAAGAGCTTGACAGACGTTTGCCACTAAATAAACACCCTGCTGGGAATACATTCCTTGTAATAGTAAACAGCCCCATTAAAAAACAACAACAACAAAACAAACAAAAATCCCACACAAACAGAAACCCCTCCGTCTGAACGAACAATCCCTATTGCCATTCTGGGACTGCTGAAACAGGCCATGCTCTGCAGAGCCCTTTGAAACAGTTTGCAGTTAGTTTCCAAAGCATGTTGGATCTGAAGAACAATTTTTTTGCAAGTAGTCCCAAAATTTCTATGCACAACCTTAATTAAGAGCAAAAATACCGCTGTATTAGCCAGATGAGCATCATTGCGTGTCCTGAAATGTGCACCACCGTTCCTATAGAGTTCATGAACACCCACAAGGTTCTGCACCACTACAGCCAAAACCTCTGCACAGCCCAGCACGACTGTGCATGAAGTGCTGGAGGAAGACCACCAGAAGTTATGGCCCGGCTGTGATGCCAGCACCAGCACCCCATCCATTTATTTCACCTAGTTAAGCTTAGAGAAAGGAACCTTGCTGTGCTTTGCACCTGCACAGACATTCAAGTGAACAAAAATCATTTACTGTTCACCATCTTTCATCCCATTACACACGAATGGACACCCATTACAGTAGAAAGGCAAAGTTCAGGAACGTTGAGTCATTCTCAAGAAGTCAAGACAGATTGTTTCCCTACTCACTACATGTGCTCACACCCGTATGGTGCCTTCTTCCTGCTGTTTGCTGCTCCAGCAAGGAAGGGCCCTAAATTATACTAAAAGAGATGAAGAGCATCTCAAGTGCTGTCTCTGTAATAACCAAACTGTGTCTCAATACGCACCGCTGGAAGAGTGAAAATGTGGTGCTCACTGAACCGAATGAGAATGCTTATGTTAGTTTTGTGTGCCATACTTCATCTTTGTTCAAGTTTTCCAACAGAAGATTAAGGAAAAACAGATGTAATGAGCATCATGACTCAAACTCCTAGGATGTGGGGGTCCAGCACTGGCATGGGAAAGGTGCTGCTGATATCCTTATCACTTTTTCAGAGATGTTCCTCCAGCATCTGGTCTGAAACATTATCTGCTTTTCAATGTCTTTAATGAACACTCATCAGATTTGGCTAGGGCATCCCCCTTTGAAGTTTCTGGGAATGAAGGAACCATGAATAATTAATAAATATAAAGTTCATTTGCAGACTCGTATAGAAGGCTTTATTTTGCATCCCATTTTCATGACTGCTTCTGTCAAATTTAAGGTCTTGCCCATGTGCAATGAGTTGAGGGGGGGCTGAGAATTGAAAGAACTCATTATGCAATTCCCAACTGTTTGTAAGTTTATTTCCTCAACAATTATTTTTAATCACCTTTCTAGAGGAAAACACAGCAAACACTCAAAGACAATAACTGACAGCATATGCCATTCTCAGTAGATTACGTAGGTCACCCACTTTTCTAATAGAGCTTGCATTGCATTGCTTATACACAGAGATACAACAGACACAGGGAGGGTTTCTGAGGCTGATGGAACATGGGCTCACATGTGGGAGCCCTGGTTTTTGTGAGCCCACCTGTGGCACTGGTTCCCTTCAAGACTGCCACATGAATGCCAGTGGGAAAGAGAAGTCTGGTGATGGCTGGAACGTCATTACATGGTCACAGTTTTCTTTGGGGACGTGGTGAAGCAATAATGATGAAGCAACGCTGACCAGAGTCTAAATTGCCCTTTTTCTGTTTCCTAGTAATCACAAGATGCTATTCTTCAGGTCACTTGGGTAAACGCACAGCTAGATAAGGAGATATGTGTGTAGACTGTGCTATGGCAATAGGGCAAAGATACCAGCATATCCCAAAGTTTTGTTACTGCTGCTGTTGTTTTTTGAAGGGAGAGGCTGGGTGTTATTCAGTTAGGAACTATTTTCAAAGGCAAAAACTGAAAGAAAAAAAAAATAAGAAATTCTCTCATCACAAAAATCTCCTTTAAAATCTTACAAGACACTCTTTAGTATGCAGTACTCCTGGTGGGAAAAAATAAATAAAAATAAAAATAAAAGCAGTGGCAATAAACGTAACATAAAAACCCTACTGCTGTTCAGATGCACCGAGTCGGCTGTTCAGCCCATTCACCGGCTGGGACTCCGCTGTCAGACCTACTTCCAATTTGGCAGACAGCAAAGCAAATGTTAGGAGCTTCCAGCGCTCTCAATAAGAACAGAAAGCACTACAGGCTGGAAAGTGCCAGTACCAGCAAGTGCAGCAGGGGCATTGCGGGGGTCTCAGCTGCTGCTTACTGATGTGTTTTCTGCAAAGGGGAATCGTAATTTTTTAACTTGCAGCCACAGTTGTTGTTTTGCACAGAAAGGGGCACTGCTGCTGCAGACAAAGCCTAACGTGACCAGCTGTTCCATATGGCCTTCTAAGGCTCTACAAAAACAAGACCAAAATGCTTCACTTTCTAGAAGAAATTACTTCCCTTTCCCAGCTCACCAACAAAGCAAGTATCCGTTCACCAGAGTTCAGGACACAGAATCACAGAATGGCCAAGGCTGGAAGGGACCTCAAGGATCATGAATCTCCAACCCCCCTGCCACATGCAGGGCCACCAACCTCCACATTTAATACTAGACCAGGCTGCCCAGGGCCCCATCCAACCTGGCCTTGAACACCTCCAGGGACGGGGCATCCACAACCTCTCTGGGCAGCTGTTCCAGTACCTCACCACTCTCTCTGTAAAGAACTTCCCCCTGACATCCAACCTAAGTTTTCCCTCCTTCAACTTAAAACCATTTCCCCTTGTCCTGCTGTTATCTACCTTTTCAAAGATTCCCCTCTTGTTTATAGGCTTCTTTAGGTATTGAAAGGCTGCAATGAGGTCACCCCGCAGCCTTCTTTCCTCCAGGCTGAACAAGCCAGCTCCCTCATCTTCACAAGAGCAGAGAGGGACAATCACCTCCTTGTCCCTGCTGGCCACCCCTCTTCTGATGAAACTCAGGATACCATTTGCTTTCTGAGCTGCAAGAGCACACTGCTGGCTTATGCCAAGTTTTTCATCCATCAGGACCCCCAGGTCCTTCTCTGCAAAGCTAGAAGGCACGGAACACAGAAGAGAACCATTGCCTCAACATCACCTTTGTAAGGCCCAGCACCTTACTAATTGTCACCTACAGCACCCACTGAAGTGCAGCAATCTTCCATACCTCGGGCTTTTATGAATAGGTTTTAACAGCCAAAAATGGGGAAACAAATTGACAGCCGTGGCTAACCAGCCCCAGGCACACCACCAGGACACCACACAGCCAAACCAGGGTTATTTAAA